TAGTGCTGTCATTTGGAAAGACCCTTGGAAGATGGAATGGAGCACTTGAGGTCGGTGCGGTCCATTTGAAGGACCCTAGAAGCTGGAACGGGCCACTTGAGGCTAGCTCTATCCCTTGGAAGGACTCTGGAAGCCAGAACGGACCTCTAGAAGCTAGTGCCGCCCTTTGGAATGACCCTAGAAGATAGAACAGACCACTTGAGGTTGGCATCGTCCCTTTGAGGGACTTATGAAGCTTGAACGGATCTCTTGAGGCTAGCACCGTCCCTTGGAGGAATAGTTAAAGCTAGAACAGACCACTTGAGGCTGGCATCGTCCCTTGGAGAGACCCTAGAAGCTGAAACAGACCACATGAGGCCAGCGCCGTCCTGGGCTCGCTGGAGTTGGAGGAGAGAGAGCTCGCCAGAGGGACTTGCTGGAATCTTGGATGGGAGTGGATCGCTCTAGTGGCTACTCGGCTTGTCGGTTTGGATCACGGTGATCTGCGGTTTGGATCGCCTGAGCTCGTCAAAACTCAATGTTGCTCCAGAGCTCGCTGTTCGGGATTCGCTGTGGATCGCGATCCAAGGCTTGGACGAAGAGAGGACTCAGCAAAGAACAAAGTGACACAGATCTTGGAAATTCCTTTCTTCGAGTGTTCTCTTTTTCTTTTTCCTATTTGTTTTTTTCTCTACCCTGGACACTTTTCTTTTTCCTTTTCTTGTTCTTCTCTCTCTCTCTTGTGTTTTGGTCTCTTTTTTTACTATTTTTTTGGGAGGTCACATGTTCGATCTTTAGTGAATAAATATTACGGAGTACATTATAGTGTAAGTATTAGTGGTAAAAAAACTAGAAATGAATAATAGATTATTAAATCAATAATTTTATAATTTTGATATGTAATTTAAATAGTCTTGATATGATTACATATTCAGCTTCTAAAAAACGTGAAATGTTTGTGTCACAACAATTTTTGAGAGTTCAATAGCCATATAGCAAGTTTAGGTGATACATGTTTTTGTGAAAATCTTAGGTGCAAAAATTAATTTACACATCTTTATCTAATACTACCTCTGTCCATGAGTATTTATCTTGTTTTGACTTTTTTCAATCAATTGTTTTCAAGCTTTGACCTATAATTAAATAATATATAAATTTTATATTAATTAGATAAAATAATATTTTGAAAATATTTGATATAATAAGTCTAATAAAACTATTTTTGTATCAATATCTAACTTGATTTTTATTTAATTTGAAGTTAAATTTTTTCAAATACTCAGAAACGGACGGAGTAGTAAAATTATTTGGTGATTAATAACTATTTCACGATGTACTTCATTTTATTTAATCACTTAGAACATATAATTAAAATTATTTAACTAATATTAAAATTATATTCTATATCCATTCATAAGTGTATTTTGATCCATAGATATCTTGAGTTTTTTCGTTATGTAATTAATCTTATTTCATCATTTAACATGTGAATTAGTTTTTTCTCTTATTATAGATAAGTTTTAAACAAATATAGGTTTCTTTTATTAACTAAAGAATGTGTATCCCCTAACTAAAGAAAAATTAAGAAATAAAATTACTACTCTATGGGTCTCAATATTATAAAAGAATTTTTCTAATTAGGAATATTTTATGATTGAGTGTATTCCATAATACTCCCTCTGTCCACCATAGATCTTCCCAGTTACTATTCACAGGGTCAAACATTACTCACTATGTTTGCTCATTTTTACTAGTCATTTCGTTAAATAATATAATCTTGTCACCTTTAGTTTTGTAGAACTTTTCATGTAGTTTATTACTATATGAATTTTATTTTAAAATTTTACTCCTAAAATCAATTAAATTGAATTGAAAATAAAGCCGGTCAAGCTTCGTAACGCGTAATGGGAAGATCATAGGTGGTCGGAGGGAGTATTTTCCTAATAATTACAATTAATTTAAATATATAATAAGGCATATAGTTAAATATGCTTTTAGTCCTGTAAAATAGACGAATTTTCTTTTTGGTTTCTGTAAAATATTTTTTGTTAAAGTCATCATTACAATATATTTTATTTTGAAAATAGTCCTTGAATATAATTAGCACTTCTAATTAGGTGAGATATCACATTTATTTTATACTCAACATCTTAGTCTTGGAATTTCTAATAATAACCGCTACTATTTTCAAATCCTAAATTATGTACTTGTTCATATTAGATCTCTAATTTTTAAATTTTGTAGGGATAAAATATAATAAAAGATTGAGAATTGGAGACATGATATGATAAAGAATATAGGTTAAAACTTGAGAATTGTGTCTGAAATAATAACATATGCAAAATGAAGATGTTGAGTACGTAATAAATGTAATATGTCAACACATTAAAAGTCTTAATTACGTATAATGACCATTTTCAATAAAATTGCAAGGATGACTTAAACAAAATAATTTAAAACAAATTACGGAGACCAAAAACAAAACCCGTCTATTTTACAGGACTAAAAGCATATTTAACCCTAATACATATAAGCAAAGAATCTATCATTCTATCATGATTCATGTTTGCTATGAGATAGGATACATCCACATCATGGTACTGATAATATTTTAAAAATTTATTTATGAAATAAAGAATGCGTATAGAACTCCATTCTCTAAGGTTTGGGGGAGGGGGTGGAGGAAGAGGTGAGAGTAGACCTGGCAAAATATGACCCGACCCGTTTTTTACCCGAAACCCGACCCGAAATTAGCGGGTTTTGAACATGATTTTTGTGACCCGAACCCGAAGACCCGTTAAAATTTTGGGTCGGGTCGGGTCGGGTCTGACCCGACAGGTTAAGCACTCTAAACTTAGGAACTAAGATTTTATATTTTTATTTATTACTCAAATATCAAATAGACAAATAATACCGTACTCAAACCCGTTAAACCTAATTGCACCCTCTCTCCATCGGCCGACTCTCCATCTCGACTTTTCTCCGCTGATCGTTGCCGTCTTCCGGCAATTTTGTGCTGTCTCGCGCGCCGGAATCGAAGCAGGGGCGGAATCGCCGGCGGGGACGGCAATTGGCGAACCGGAAACGTCTAGGCTGTGATGGATTCGTTGGCGTCTTCCACAGGGACGGATCCCGAAATTGAGGACGCTCCTGGTACGATGCGGCCAAAACGACGGCGAACTCCAAACCTTCTAGCAAACCCGATCTGATTACCCGATCTGATTGTCTAGTTGAGGTTCAATTTTTTTTGTTTTCTTTCCTTTGTTTTTGAAAGCCACATTTATTTGGGTTTGGTTCCATTAGATTATACAATTACGGAGTATTTTCTTTGTAGACTTGTAGAGTATTTGGGTATATATTTGGGTCTAGGTACAATTTTTTGGGTCTGGCTTTTGACAGCTACAATTCTTTATTTTTCACAAGAAAAGTTTGGATTTTTGGAACCTAAGAAACAAGCACAATAGTGGAATTGCTAATCCTAATTCATCATCTTCAGTTGGACGTAACTCATGTTTAACTCTCTCTTAAAAGTTAAAAATTTAGAATTTAAAATCAGTTTTTTGACTTTTTTCTATTTACGAAGTAATGGGAGTATTGTTTAATCTATGTTTTCCATTTACGTGATATTATTTTTCTCCTGGAGTAGCATAATTCGGTAAACCGGGTAAGGAGTAATCGGTATACATGAGTTTAAACAAACAGACGATTTACGATTATCAGTTTTATCTAAAAAATTTTTTTATATTATTAGACGTTAAAACGTATACAGATCTTGAGTTGATAAGGCTTTTGCTCTCTTGGTTTGCTTTGATTCTTCCCCAACTTTTGATGTGTTTAATACAGTTTATTCGTCATGATAAGCTACTCGTGATAAGCATCAAATTGATATGAGAAATGACTTCACTTGAGAATGAACTTCTAATCATTTTGTTTGAACTCTAAATTATTTGGTATTTTGATTAGTGTGCTTGGATGGTTCATTTGGGACATGATGATGTTTAAAATTTTTTGCTATGTTTACTTTTTTGTTGTTGTTTTGAATGATTTTTTTCTATGTTTTGAAAAAATGCATTGATCACTTCATCTCTGAATGGAAAATTTACAATTTTTAAATACGCCTCTTAACCCGTTGGGTCAACCCGAACCCGATAGCTCTGGGTCATGAACAAGCATTCTTAGACCCGAACCCGAAGTGACTCAAACCCGACCTGACCGACCGTTTTGCCAGGTCTAGGTGAGAGAAGTTCTTTGGTTTATTCGTGAAAGTAGAGGACTCGAGTAGACACTCGTCCAAAGCAAATGAAAATCATTTTTCCATCTTTGAAAGAGATATTTTTTCTAAAAATTGATTTTGTACCACTTATTTAACCAAACAAAGGAAATTAGATATAGATTTTTTTTGGGAAAATATTTTTCTTTCAAACAAATAAATCCTACAAGTTAGAATCCAAAAGTAGTGTTTTAGAAAAATTGTAGAATAAAACAAAGCTACGTTCCACCCGTGCAAGGTACATGTTAATAAACTAGGTTGAAATTTCAGAATTAGATGCTGGAAGGAGATGGAATTTAGTGGAAAGAGTTGGAAACTGTTAGAAATGTTGGAAGAATTAAAGTATCAAAAAGTCACCTAATTAAATTACCACCCAAATAAATATGTATGAAAACTCTAATTGTAGATAAAAAAGAATTCATTTTTGTGCTTGTTTGAGGTAATATGTTATAAATTTAGATACATAATACTATTGTACATTTATCATATATAAATACCTAAATTATGTACTCCCTCTGTCTCCCATAGATCTTCTCAAAAGTCCTTTTTCTTTGTCTAGAATAGATCTTCTCATTTCATTTTTTAACAATTAAAATATCACAACTACCCCCACTTACTTTATTTATTATACCTCACCCACCTCATTTAATACACTCCACCCATTTTTTATTAAGGGTATTATGGTAAACTCTCATCTATTTTCAACTCTCCTTAAAAACCACCAAAAGTCAAAATGAGAACATCTTAGATGAACGGAGAGACTACTTTGTTCATATTACAAGCTCTTCCGCGGTAGCACAGACTATGTGATTCAAAGAAAATAAGCTTTTAGCCCAATACATATGCTCTATAACACATACCAAAAGAAAGAAAAAAAGTGAGCAAACATGAATTTATTAGCATTTTCTGAAGATGATAGCACTTATCCCTCCATTCTAACATCTTACAATCGAATACTAAAAAAGAGTATCCATTCATCCCTCAAAATGTGAAGTTGAAATACACCGTATACGATTCGTCCCTCAAACTAAGCAAAGGAACCAAAACAAAGTTCCGTGTGGTTCCCTTGGCCACAAAGCTGATGGGGTGATATGAGGCGATCCCCGTTTCCAGTTTAAAGCTTGCAGCATTTTCAAACCCGGCGTCGTCTCCTGAGGACTCATTCTTGCAACTTAGCTTTACGTCCATATTGGCTTCGCGGGAAACGTAACAACCTTTCCGGGATATGGATTGCAAGGAAATTGTCCCATTCTTCCCATCTAAGCCAGCAGTCAAAAGAAAGGCAGAGGAGTCAAATGAGGTGGAATCTTCAACTACCAAGCCATTATTTTCCCCTTGTTTCACTGCCATTCCAGGGTAGTCAAATGGCTCTAGCAGGACAGGTTTCCCCATGAAGTCAGCTGGTCTTGAAAGCGTCTTTGACGGGTCATTAGAAACGAGCCGAAAGGTGGCTCTTACTGCAGAATCTGTTCCGCTTTCAGGGTATTCAAACATATGAACCGATTGGTTTGTGTTTGCCAGGACGAACGAAGCATTCCCAGATTCTTGGGCAAGCGATATTAGGAGAGAATTCTGGGTTTGCATCGGGGACACCACATCCGTAGAGGAATATGATGATGATGATGATGATGATGTTGCTTTAATATCCCAATCGCCACGGGAGAGACCAGCAAGTAGGTACGGACCATAAAGGATCGCCTGAACAGAAGCATATTCTGGACGGTCATCTGAAGCATCCATCCATCCATCATCAGATAGATGAATAAAAAGTGGTAAGACATTCTACAAACACCAACTTCACAATCCTGTTTTTGTATTACAATTACTCTGTAATGAAGCGATCCGAGATTATACCTTTGATGGCCTCAGTTCTAAGACTCATAGGTAGCTCGAGAGTAATTTTGTCATAAGAGGTCCATCTTCTCGTAATTGATAGGAAGTTTCCTGCAAGAAACATATAAATCTTTTGAAATATTCCAACCTTCTCCAAAACCTATCAATTACTTTCCTATCAAACACATCTAAGAAGCAATTTAGTGCCTAAATATAACTGAACAAAAAAAAATGTTGAAAACACAAAATTACTTGTATTTTTAACTAAAAGTATTAAACTGAACTGAAAACCGTTTAACTGTACTGAAAAAAATGAAGCTAAAAAAGCATGCCTTTAGAGTCACAACAGAGAAATCGAAACGAACCCCAAAATTAAAAACCGTTTGCTAATTTACCTGGTGTTGGCAGAGGCACAAATTGTCCATTGAGCAAAGCATTTGCACCATTTGCATGCGTCCAACTCGGCACTCTGAAATTTATTGTGGATCGTAGACTAAAAGACTGCTAAGAAGACATCATGCATAAGAACAATAAGTTCAAAATACCAAGTTCTCATATGGCTTGCTTAAAGTTTTGCTTGGTGAGTAAAAGTGGGGCACAAACACAATTTTACTATTTAGGGTTTGTCGAATTGGAGATAAACGGAATTGAAATGAATTTGAGTGAACATAAGTTGGAAGAAAAAAAACAAACTCTAATATGTTTACGTATTCCTTTTAAGGTTATGCTGATACCTACCTGCTTTGATGTAATTGTTACAGTCACGCGAAGGAGATCATATTGGGATGTAACTGGATCAATGCTCTGGTTAAGCATGATCTGACCGGATTTCCAATCAAGTGAGCTAGGTATGTACTGAATGATGTACATTCCTGGAACTTCTCCAGGCTCTTCAAAGTATATAGAATCTCCCAACTTGGAAAATGATTCAATTCCTTGTGAACAAACCAACCATGGAAAGAGAGTGATGAGTTTCAAATATGTTATTTCTATTGCAAAAAAAAAAAAAAATCCAAAATATTCACACCTACCTGTCCCATAGCAACACCAGAAAGAATCAAATTTTGTCCCCCATCCATGGAAACTTTTGGCCTTGGAAGCACCCGGATGAAGTGGAAGCATATAAATCATCACTCCAGGATCAGTTCCTCTCTGGATGCTAAGGACACCGTTTGTTAAGGCCCTCTCATAATAATCGGCATAAGCCATCTCCTTGGTCCATCTGAACAGGTGTCGTGACACCTACAAACGAACTACTTTAGACAAGGAAAAACCTGCAAAGTCTCATTTTGGGGGGGGGGGGGGGGG